ACTGGCAGAATCAGGGACCATTGCAGTACAAGGGATGAAGGTGGAGAATGCCATCATTGATACTGGAGCCCAGAGTGTACTAATGGGGAGGAAGTTAGCCGAGCGGCTGAGGCAGCAAGGGAAGCTGGAGACAGTGAGCAAGGGGATGCTTATCATGACTGCGGAAGGCGGGCCACCCAAGTGGATGCCGAGCACGAAGGAGCCGGTTGAGTTTGCGCTGCTGCCATGGCAGAAAGAGGAGACGAAGATTCGGGTACAGTGCGGGCTGTCTGAATCAGACGACTACGATTTGCTAGTAGGAATGGAGTTAATCTACAAGATCGGAGCACAGATTGACACTTGGGGGGAGAAGCTCACCTTCAGAACCGAGTACTGGAAGGAGGGAGGGGCACGGGGAGAGCTGTCGGTGCGATTTGTAAAAATGGAGCCACGGAGGGCCCTGAGAGCCACCGAGCCTCAGCGGAGGGCAGGGGAGAAAAGGAACGAAAATGGGGTGAAGGGAGCTGCACAAGGCAAGACAGAAACCCTCAGTCGGCAGGTGGAAGCAACGCTAGGCGAACGGCCGATCACGCTAGTGGAGCACTTCGGAGGCATAGGAGCAGGATTAGCAGCAACGCTGGAGGCGGGACTGGTCGTGCAGAAATGGATCTTGGTGGAAATAGACCCAACAGCCAGGCGCATGGCCTGGCATCATGCGGAGCAGCTGCGGCGAAGATATCCGGGGCAGATATGCACAGCGGTGATAGAGGAGGCTAAGCAGGAAGGAGCATGGGATGTGCGCCAGCTGAACGAGGCAACGGTATGGGGATGGGGTCAGGTAGATCTAGTGGTGGCGGGATGGGAATGTCAGGGCACATCGCGAGTCGGAAAGGGGCGAGGAATAGGAGAATCACGCACGGCACTGCTGGATGAGCTACTGCAAGTGCTAAGATGGATTAAGGAAGGGGGATCGAGGTGCTGTTACATAGTGGAGCATGTAGACATGGTGGGAGACCCGCGAGAACCAGTGAGAGCAACACATGAGAAGGTAGTGGCGGAGCTGGGGGCAGGCGTGAGTTGGGATGCCGCGCTGAACGGAGCAAGGGCAAGGCGGGTAAGAAGATACTGGCAGAACGCTGTGGAGACTGAGAAGCTGAAGCAAGGACTGGCTGACCTGAGAAGAGATACGAATTTGCTGGTGGGGGACATTCTAGGACCTGGACGAACGTCGGCCCCGGTGGAAAAGCGAGACCACCCTAAGCAGCTGCAATGCAATAAACCAGGCGAGCCAAGAAGATTATGGCCTACCTTGGTGGCCTACGAAGGAGCCTGAGGGTTTGTGATGGAAGAAGGCAAGCCGGGACCAGGCATGGTTTATGACAGAGAAAGAGGACAGTGGGAAGAACCGAGCGAGCGACCGAGCGAGAACTGGCAATGGGATACGTACCGGGGGCAACAGCGGCACGAGGAGTACAAGAGCAAGAGCGAAGGGCCGCCCTAGGGCAGCCAATGGATCAGCATGCGTTACAGTGGCTGTTAAAGGAGATGGTACAGCAGCAGGACAAAGAGGAGCCGAGAGGGCAGTTGGGAAGAGGGAGCAGTGAGCAGATCAAGGCTAGCTGAGCATACCTGACACAGGAAGAAAAGCAGGAAGAGGAAAAAGATGCAAAGAAGGGAGAGGAGACAGAAAAGGAAGGCCGGAGACAGTGGAAAATGAGCCCTAACCTGGACAGTAAGGTGGCAGCAGCGATCCAGCAAGTGTTGGCAGAGCATCGGAAGACTTTCGCGTACACTTTGAAAGACCTGGGGAAGTGCAAGGTGCACGAGCTCGAGCTACCACTAGACACCACGGTGCCCATCTACCAGAGGAGGCGGCGGATGAGCCCGCGAGACGAAGAGGTCTGCCATGGCAAGTGCAGAGAGCTGCTAGATGCGGGACTGATACGACCATCGAACTCGGCATACGCAGCAGCTACGGTGGTGGCAGCGAGGACAGACTTGACAGGAGAACTACTAGCTAGAAGAATGTGCGGCGACTACCGGGAGTTAAATCGTATAACAAAAGCAGATCGATACAGCATGCCAACTGCAGAGGAGATCTTCAACAGGCTAGAAGGAGCAGTCATCTTTTATACGTTGGACATGTGACAGGGGTTCAATCAGATAGTAATCAAGGAAGAAGACAAATGCAAGACCGCCTTTCATGGAGTGGATGGCCTGTACGAATGGAACGTGATGCCATTCGGGCTGAGGAACGCATCAGCCGTGTTCCAAAGAGTCATGGATCAGGTACTGAAAACAGTACCATCAGCAGCGTGTTATATTGACGAAGTGGTGATCTACAGCAAGAGCGAGGAGGAACATGCGGAGCATTTGAGAGCAACACTGGACACGATAGCAGCCGCGGGACTAACTTGTCATCCGGAGAAGTGCAAGATAGCTAGGAGGACAATTGCTTACCTGGGATTTGAAGTTCGAGGAAAAATGGGTATCCAGGAGGCGAAAGTGGCAGTGCTCAATAAGCTGGGGGCACCAAAAGATAAGGGAGCGCTGAGAGCACTCCTGGGGTTCCTGAACTACTACCGACGCTTCATCCCCGATTTCAGCAAGAGAGCTCACCGGCTGAACCAGCTGCTGAGGGAGGGGCAAGCCTGGAAGTGGGGACCAGAGGAGGAGCAGGCGAGAAGGGATCTGCTAGAGGCCATCAGAGCAGGAACGGTACTGCAGCTGCCAAGGAGAGACACACCGTTCACGCTTTACACAGACTGGAACAGCATGGGCATGGGAGCAGTATTGTGTCAAGAGGTGGAGGGAGAAGAGCGAGTGGTGGCCTATGCCAGTCGAAGCTGCACAGCAACAAAAGCCAACTACAGTTCATACGAAGGGGAAGGACTGGCAGCTATGTGGGGAGTAACACACTTCAGGGCCTACCTGCAAGGGCAGAGATTCACGCTGATAACAGACCACCAGCCACTCTTATGGCTAATGGCCAACAGATCCCTGACGGGGCGGAATGCACGGTGGGCGATGCGACTGCAAGAGTACGACTTCATTATCAAACATTGCACAGGAAAGACACTACAACATGCGGACGGGCTGTCCTGGAATCTACCACAGGAGTAGAGCAGCAATGGGCAGCAGTGGCAGCAAAGGGAGAAGAAAAGGGAGAGGTGCAGGAGCTGAAGGAACAAAAAGCCACGGATATATGGCAAGACAAGGAGACACTCCACTGGGTGCAAGGGCTGACCGAAGACATTGCAGCAGTAACTACAAGGGCGAGGAATAGAGGAGGGCATTACCGGTGGTTTCAGAATCAGATGCAGCTGCGCACGTCGGAAGGATGGAAGGTGGTGCCAAAGTCAGAAGAGAGGGAGCAGATCGTACAACAAGTGCATGAGAAGCTAGGGCATAACGGAGGAGCCAGGACAAGGCAGTTACTATGCACCACCTACTGGTAGGCGGGAATGAGGAGAGAGGTGGCGCAGTGGGTGCAGGGGTGTGAGGCGTGCCAGCGGAATAAGGCAGGGCTGGAGAAGGGCAGGGAAGAATTGCAGTCACTGCCCATACGTGGCCTAGGATTCAGGTGGTCCTTGGATCTGGCGGGCGAACTACCTTTATCCAGGTGAGGAAAGATGTATATTGTCGTGATGATAGAGCATACAACAAAATGGGTGGAGGCGCGGGCTATAGCCAACAAGAATAGTGGACTGATCCGAGAAGCATTTCTGGACCAAGTTCTCACCAGATTCGGGGCATGCGGGGAGGTGCTGATAGACCAGGGCACCGATTTCCAAGGCAGCTTCGCGGAGCTCTTAAAAGAGGTAGGCATCATGCACAGAGTGATCTCGCGGTACCATCCTCAGTCCGACAGGATGACAGAAAGGATGATACATACGATCAAAGGAGGACTGCGGGTGTACGGAGAGCAGAAAAAGAGAGAGTGGGATGCAAAGCTGCCATGGGTGCTGGCAGGCTATTCGTTCGCAAAGCAGTCAGCTCTAAAGGACATGTCCCCGTATCACTTGCTGTACAAAAGAGAGCCCGTGCTGCCCGTGGATGTGCCCAAGCTACTCACCGAGTCAATGAACGAAGTGTCGGCAGAGGCGTGGGCAGCTGAGGCTACACGAAGATGGGGGAGTATTTGAAGGAGCTGATGCCGGCAGCCCTGGAGAATCTGCACACAGCGCAGCTGAGAGATGCACGCAGGTACCAGCAGCGGAGAGAAAGAGAGGCAGGTGGGACAGCTAAAAACGTGGCAGTAGGGAGAGCTGTATACCTGAGAAAGGCACGGAAGGACACACTAGAAATGTCAGTGGGAAAAGAGAGGTGGCGCGTGCTGGAGATACGCTCATCTGGCATATTGGTGCTGGAGAATGAGAAGGGAGAGAGGCGGAGAGAGCATGTTACGAATGTAGCAGCAGCCGGAGAGCGCAGGACCAAGCATGGCTGAAGCGAAGGACGGATTCGATTCAACAAGGGAGGGGGCAAGGGCGCTTGGTCCCACAGCAGCATTCATCACCTACCAGAGGCGGAATGGACAAAGGAAGGAGGAGGACAGGGAGGAAGGATAGCTAATATCACAGGATCGAATGACTCGAGGAAAGGTTGCACTATCGATCAGTACAATGCGCTTTTATACTTCCAGAGTACATCAGGTAACCAGGTTTATCTTATCCTAAGGGAATAGACCCTTCTAGAAGATAGAATCACCCTGCGTATAGCCACGTGAGGCTATTGGCTTTAAGGGATGATAGCAGGATTACGCCAGATAACGCACCAGTACATCCCAAGCCTGGTCGGTGATATAATTAAAAATGCAGGATAAACCAAAGGTTAATGGAAAATGGAGAATAGGAAACCAAATGAGATGAGATAAAAAGAGAAATGGAAGAGGAAGGAAATAAGAAAAGGGACAAGGGGTGTAACGGGGTCGTACTCTCACACTTCCCCCCCTCAAAGCTGGGTGGTAGAAGTAACACCCTCCTTGACAAGGTTGTCATGCAGAGGACGACGGGCGTTACCCATGTCGGACTCAGGGACCCAGCTGACCTCAGAAGGATCATAACCCTTCCAACGGATGAGAAACTCCACGGCGCCATGCCGACGTCGACGGTGTGCAAGCACGGACTCGACCTCGTACTCGGGTTCATTCTGGACGAGGACGGGTGGCGGCGGCGGTGGTTGGTGTCCGACGAAGATCGTGTTCGGATCTCGGTAGGGCTTCAGAAGTTGGACATGGAAGGCGTTGTGAATCTTCTACGTAGCTGGCAGGCGCAAGCGGAAGGTAACAGGAGTAACCTCCGCTTCAATGAGAAAAGGCCCGCAGAAGCGAGGTCGTAGTTTAGATGGGAGGTGGCTGATGTCCAGGTTGCGGGTGTCAAGAAGCACCTGGTCTCCCACCGTGATGGTGTGGTCGTTGCGATGGCGATCGGCCTGGCGCTTTTGTTGCTGCTGAATGTTGAGGAGGCGCTTGTGGGTCCGATCCCAAAGCTGATGCATGGTTGTGATGAAATCATGTGCAGGTTGGACTGTAGCGGATGTGGTCGGTTTCTGTGGTGTGAGTGGGTGGCGTCCGTAGCAGAGGAAGAACGGCGTCTGTCCAGTAGCGGCATGTGTAGCGTTGTTGTAAGCAAACTCCAGAATGGGCAGGTGCAGGTCCCATTTGGAGATCTCATCCTTGCAGGCTGCTCGGAGGAGTTGCTCAACAATTTGGTTGAGGCGCTCGGTCTGTCCGTCTATCTGCGGATGGTAGGCGGATGACATGGCGAGTTTGGTCCCGAGTAGAGACATGAGTTCCTTCCAGAACTTGCTGGTGAACTTGGGGTCTCGGTCGGAGATGAGTGTGGTTGGAATGCCATGCTGTGAGATGATGTGACGAACGAAGAGTTGTGCTGTCTCCTCGGTGCGTGCTGTCGTGTGTGTCGGGATGAAGTATCCCATTTTGGAGAACTTGTCGATGACGACAAGGATTGCGTCATGACCGCTGGTGGTAGGTGGTAACCCGGTGATGAAGTCTAGGCTAACCACTTGCCATGGCTATTCTGGGACAGGAAGAGGCTGTAGTAGTCCCGCCTTTTTCTGCTTGCTGCTCTTCATCCGCTGACATGTATTACACGAGGTGACAAACTTCTGAACATCCTTTGGCAAGTGGGGCCAGTAGTAGTGTTTTGCGATACCGGTGAGCGTCTTGTTGCTACCGAAGTGTCCGGCGTATAGGACGTCGTGGTATTCTTCGAGTAGTAACTGGCGCAAAGGAGGTAATTGGGTACCCAGATTTTTGTTGATCCTTTCCGGTACGCGATGTCACTGTCCCACTGTAGCAGATGTCGCTTTTCAGCCAAGGGAATTTCGGGGTCGATGGCGTACCCGTGTGTGAAGAGTCCCTTGAGGAGTGGATTCATCCCTTCAATCTGAATAGCGGCAACGTGTGCAGGCCGGCTAAGAGCGCCTGCTTTGTTTTTGTGGCCTGGCTTGTACACGATGTCGTAGTGGAAGTGTGTCTCGAGGAAGTTGATCCACCAGACCTGCCATCTGGAAAGGTTGGGTTGTGTCTTCAGGCTGCAGTGGTCGGTGTAGACGGCTGCTCTTTTGATGGAAATCGTGCAAATCTGGAGAGAACTAATTAGAGATTAAGTCTGACGACCTCAACGAATCATTGCGTGCTGCTCAGGTAACTTCTAGAAATGAGCTTATACGCGTTGGAAAGGTCTTAATCTCTACTTTCCAGAATGGTAAAGCACGTTCATAACCAAGATCTGAGCCGCCGATTATGACGAAATCAGTGTGAGGGGGTATTCTGGTAATTTGGCTAGGCAGCCATGAATCACCTAGTAAAAACGAGAAGGGAAGCAGTTCGATCTGGAAAAGTTGCAGTATGTGATTGTCAAACACCACCAACCCTTGCCCTAGACCAACCAACCCAAGTCCTTTTGCCCAAAACCCAATAGCCCACAACCAGCTAGAGCAAACTACACCACAGAATACTACACATTTATCACTCCCCCTTGCTCGTGCTGGGTGTGGCTCAACACCATAGGGCAAAAGACTTCACACCACTCCCCCTTGCTCATGGGTTGGGGCCACCCAGAGCATGGAGTCCGCCAAGGAGAGGAGCACCAAGACGCCGGCATCTGCTGCGGGAACCCTGTCATCATGGGGCTGCATCCCGAGCAAGGTCATGCACACACCATGGCGCTCAAAGGGAAGAGACTTGGTAAGAATATCAGCAGCCTGACGGTTGGTAGGGCACCACTGCAAAATCACCTCACCCGCAGCTACCATCTCCCGAATGAAATGCCACCGGACCTGCATGTGTTTGGTGCGGCCATGCAAGCATGCATTCTGTGCAAGGGCAATGGCAGACTGATTATCCACAAACACAGGCACACCACCAGCATGATCATGACCAAACTCCCCAAACAAACGCCTCAGCCAGACACCCTCCTGAATGCACTGACACAGACTTATATACTCACTCTCAGTGGTAGAGAGTGCTACCACGGGCTGCCTCTTGCTCTGCCAAGAGATAGCTGCCCCATTCAGACAGAACACATACCCACTGTGGCTCCTGCGACTTGCGGAATCTCCAGCATAGTCAGCATCACTGAAGCCAACTAGCTGGACCTGAGACTGGGGCTGTGTTTGGAAGAAGATACCTGACTTGACACCACCTTTCAGGTACCTCAGCACTCTCTTAGCGGCCTGCAAGTGAAACATTTTAGGACAAGAGGCGACCTTAGATAGCTGTGAGACTGCAAAGGCAATCTGTGGCTGTGTGGTAGTACAAGCATACATGAGGGATCCCACAATGCTTTGGTAGAGCTTGACCAGCTCATCTCGCAGCAAGGGTTCATCCTCATAGGCATGCACATCAAAGCCTGTTGGGAGAGGAGTACGCACGGGGTTGGCCTCTGAGAGACCAAAGGACTGAAGCATGTTAAGAATGTACCTCTCTTGATGAATCAAGATACCACTCTCATCACGTTCAATTTGCATTCCCAAGTAGTAATTCACCTCCCCCAAGTCCTTCATGCGAAAACGCGAGGACAAGAACTCTTTCACTCGATCTAGCAAAGCCTTGCTAGAGCATAGGAGCAAAAGGTCATCCACATAGAGGAATAAGGAGATCCGCTCCTCATCTCTCACAAAGTGGTACAAGGCAGGGCCACACTCAGATCTCTCAAACCCAAAATCCATGAGAGCCTCATCAAATTTTAGGTACCACTGTCGTGGGGCTTGCTTTAGCCCATAAATGGACTTTTTTAGGCGACACACTCGGTGAGACCCATCATCAAAACCAGGGGGCTGCCGCATGTAAAGCTCTTCCTCCAAATCCCCATGGAGGAAGGCTGTCTTGACATCCATATGATGGATATCAAGCCCCAAAGCAGCTGAAATTCCAAGCATACCTCTCAAGGTCGCATGCTTCCCAACTGGAGAGTACACTTCTTCATAGTGTACTCCCAATTTCTGCGTGTTTCCCATCACCACCAATCTGGACTTAGGCCTCTCAACAGTACCATCAGGGTTATGCCTGTATTTCCAAACCCATTGACACCTGAGGACCTCCAAACCAGGTGGTACCACTGCTGGATCAATCAGCTCAAATGATCCATTTACCTTGTGAGACTCAAGCTCCTCATGCATGGACTCAACCCATTCTGGACGGTTCAGCGCCTCGTGGACTGACCTAGGCTCATGCACCTGACCCATTAGACACACATCAAGAGCATACTCATGCCCATGCATGTCCACAAGCATGCAATCATCCAAATCAGACACAAGATGATCATGCATGCGTGCAATGTGCCCCGGGGTAAACCTTTCAGGTGGCTGGGAAATTCGAGCACTGCGTCACAGAGGTGTTGCCTCTCCTTCTTCCAGCCTCCGCAGCTTCTCCTCCCAAGTCACCCTCTTCATTGGAGTCCTCGGAGTCTTGGACAGCTGCTGGTCCAACAACTGCTGCCAACTGCTTCTCGATGGAGTTGAAGGCACATGCTGCTCCGGCTGATCATCACGCACATCGGCTTGCGTGGCTGGCTGAGGGGTAGAATCTGTCTCTCGGGACTCCTCATGGTTAGGATCAGCTGGTTCTGGCTCCTCCTGCTGCTCCTCCCCTTCATCTCCAGGGTCCTCCCATGCCCCCTCAAAGATAGAAGCCGTATGAGGGTCTTGAATGGAAGTCCCACTATGGCTTGTACCATGCTCCTTCCACCCCTTAAAATTCAGCCCCTCATGGAAAACCACATCACGGCTCTCCATCACACGCTGGTCAGCTACACTCCACAGCACCCAAGCCTTGCTCCTCTCAGAAACCCCAAGGAAGATCCCCCACTGTGCCTTAGGATCTAGCTTCCTTCTTTGCTGGTCAGGTACCTTATACTGTGCCATGCACCCCCACACTCGTGCCATGGAAACATTCGGCACCTTCCCTGTCCAGAAGGAGTATGGGCTCTTGCCTCCAAGCCCCTTGCTGCCCATCCTGTTCTTCACCCAGTTGGCATACTGCACTGCTGCCCCCCACCAAGTGTTATCAAGCTCGGCATGGGAAAGGATGGCCCGAGCCAAATCGGTCAAGGTCCTGTTAAGCCGCTCCGCTGCCCCATTTTGCTGCGGCGTGTAAGGTACAGAGAGCTGGTGGGTAATACCCTTTTCTTCCAAGAAGGTTTGAAGTTCTTTCCCAAGGTACTCTCCACCCCGATCTGACCTTAACACCTTTACCTTGGCCCCTGATTCCCTCTCCACATAGCGTATCCACCGCTTAAACACCTTTGCCACCTCATCCTTGGTCTTCACCAAGGTGACCCAGCTAAGTCGACTGAAGTCATCAAGAAAGGTGACAAAGTACCTGCTGCCCCTTTCCCGGTCAGGAGTTTGCATCGGTCCACACACATCCGTGTGCACCAGCTCAAGGGGAGTCGAGGCATGATCAGAGGAGATAGGGAATGAGGTTCTAGGCAGCTTTCCAGACGTGCAGTCGGGACATTTGCTCTGCTGCCCAGCTCTTTCCTTGACCTCCACCCCCTTCAGCTCCCCCTTCTTCACACACTCCAGCAGTTGCTGCTTCCCCGCGTGCCCCATGCGAAGGTGTAGCAACTCAGGTGACACCGTTTCCACCTGCCTCCAGCGAGTGCTACAAGCGGCTTCCTCAGAAAAAACCATATGTGCCTTGTAACAATTAGGCACACAAGCTGGAACAAGGTATAAACCCTTGTCTAGCTTTGCCTCCATCACCACAGCTTCACCCTTTCTAACAGTACACCCTCCCTCCGTGAAAGTGCAGATGTATCCCTGTTTAGCCAGCTGCGAGCATGAAAGGAGGTTTGCAGCCAAACCAGGGACGTGAAGGACCCCCTTCACACCCACTAGCTCCCCCTCTTTCCCCTTAATGGTGATCGTGCCGATGCCAATTGCTTGCAGCAAATCTCCGCTCCCAACAATCACGTTCCTCGAATTTGGTGGGAGAGGATGGTAGGAGGTGAAGAGATCACGGCGAGGAAGCATCCCAGATGTTGCTCCAGAGTCTAGAACCAGGAAGTTGGGATCAGCCAATGCACGACCAGCGAGAGCTGCATCCTGCCCTAGCATGAGAAACGAGAAACCATCATCGGAGGAGTCGTCTTGGCCCTTCCCCTTCTCATCCTTAGCAGCTGCGGCCGTTGCTCCCTTGCTGCCCTTCTTATTCCAGAGCCCCTTCTTCATCCTTTTCTCCACCCAATCAGGTTTGGTCACTGGTGGGGCCTCTCCAGAGTAGCCGTGAGGCTTCCATCCCTCAGGCCTACTCCAGCAACTCTTCCAAGAGTGTTTTTTGTTGCATCCGGGCACAAGGCATTTGTCCAACTCTTTCTTCTTCCCCCCACCTCCTTGCTGTTGATAGCCTTTCCTGAAGGAAGTTTTATCTGCTGCACCCATGCCTCCTTCTAGGCCTCTTCCAGCATCAACCTTGCGAGCCTCATCAGAAATTAGAACCTCCCAAATCCACACCTTGGTCCATTTCTGTTGCTCGAGGTGAAGGTACTGTAGTAATGCCTCATTAGCCGCTTGATCCAACCCTTGGAGTGCAGTGTAGATGATCTCTTTCTCATCTACCGTGTAATCCAGCTCCTCCAAAGCCCTCACATTCTCATCCACCCTCTGGAGATACTGAACCATGGTCTCCCCCTCCCCATAGTTCCGCTCCATGGTGTAAAACCGCTTCCGCCAAGTAAGCACGCTTAGAAGCCCTTTCTGCAAGTGCCTATCTTGCACTCTTTTCCAAGCTGCAGCTGCTGCACCTTCCTTCCCCTTCAGGTCAATCAGCATCTTAAGAAGCTCAAGTTGCCCCTCCAAAGCCCAACACAGGTATTGAAATGCCTGGCGATCCTTCCGATCCCATGCTTCTTGAGCTTTGAGCAACTCCTCGCGACTTGGTTGCGACCTTCCGGTTCGAGTTGCAGCGGTTCCTCCTTCATTCCCCCCACTCAACGATGCTCCCCCAGCCCCGGATCCCACTTGGCTGGTTGCTCCAGTAGACGCCTCCCCAGAGTCAGCTCGTGGTCGCTTCTCCGATCCATCCAACACACTTTCTAGGTCCTTAATACCTAGCCATAGTGTGAACTGGAACCTCCATAGTGAAAAGTCCGAGCCGGTAAACCTAGGAGGGCCATCCAACTTTTGGGCCATGTCAAACCCTAGATCTGGAGCACTTCAAGCCTCTCTAGATCTCTTCCAATGGAGGAAAGAACGTCCTCTAACCGTGGCTCTGATACCACTGATGGAAATCGTGCAAATCTGGAGAGAACTAATTAGAGATTAAGTCTGACGACCTCAACGAATCATTGCGTGCTGCTCAGGTAACTTCTAGAAATGAGCTTATACGCGTTGGAAAGGTCTTAATCTCTAATTTCCAGAATGGTAAAGCACGTTCATAACCAAGATCTGAGCCGCCGATTATGACGAAATCAGTGTGAGGGGGTATTCTGGTAATTTGGCTAGGCAGCCATGAATCACCTAGTAAAAACGAGAAGGGAAGCAGTTCGATCTGGAAAAGTTGCAGTATGTGATTGTCAAACACCACCAACCCTTGCCCTAGACCAAACCCCAACACTCTCAAGTGCCATGACTGCAACATCAAAGATGTTGTAGTGGATTTGAGGTTGTATGGGTTGGAAAGGTAACGAGTTCAAACCTTGCCAACCAACCCAAGTCCTTTTGCCCAAAACCCAATAGCCCACAACCAGCTAGAGCAAACTACACCACAGAATACTACACATTTATCATCTTTGTCATTCGAGATAACATCTCCACGCTTTGAAGGCGATGACGATGGTAAGGGCCTCTTTGTCGTGTATCGGGTATTTTAGTTCTGCCCCGTGCAGTTTCTTGCTAAGGTAGGCGATTGGTTGCAATCCATTCTCCTGATCTTGCATTAAGACTGCTCCCACTGCCTGGTCGCTGGCGTCAGCTTCGATTACGTAGTCGCGTTCGGGATCTGGCAAGATGAGTACCGGTGCGGACGTGAGTGCTTGTTTCAGCTGCTCCATGGCTTCCTGGTGCTTTGGTTCCCATTTGTAGGGCGTGTTCTTCTTCAGCAGATTCGTGAGTGGTGCTGCGAGTTTCGCATACTGTGGCACGAAACTGTTGTAATAATTCGCGAAGCCTAGAAACTGCTGCAACTCCTTCACGTTCTCGGGTGTCTTCCACGTACGTACGGCTTCGATTTTCTTGGGGTCGACGTGAACTCCTTGAGCGCTCACTATGTGTCCCAGGAACTGGACCTTCTCAAGGACGAATTCGCTCTTGGATAGTTTGACGTAGAACCGTTCTCGTCGAAGAATCTCGAAGACGCGTCGCAGGTGTTCGACGTGCTGCTTCATGTCGCGCGAGTAGATGAGGATGTTGTCCAGGTACACCACTACGCACTCGTCCAAAAGTGGTCGTAGAATGTGGTTCATTTCGGCTTGGAACGTTGCTGGTGCGTTGGTGAGTCCGAACGGCATTACCAAATACTCGTACGATCCATACCGAGTTCGGAAAGCAGTTTTGTGGATAGAGTTGTCCGCCATCCGTATCTGCCAGTATCCGGACCGCAGATCCAGTTTGGAAAATACCGTAGCTCCCCGAAGCTGGTCAAGCAGGTCATCGATTCGTGGTATCGGATATTTATTCTTGATGGTCTGCTTGTTAAGAGCTCGGTAGTCGATGCACATGCGCAGGCTTCCGTCCGATTTCGGTGTGAAGAGTACTGGGGCACCGTATGGCGAAGTGGATGGTCGGATGAGTCCTTTGGCTAGGATATACTCGATCTGTTTTTTCATGTCGGTCAGCTCCGTAGGGCTGAGCCGATATGGTGCTCGGAAGGTCGGCTTCGAGCCTGGTTACTCCACGATCTCGTCTTGATGTGTGCGGTATGGCGGTAGCTCCTTCGGAAGATCGTCAGGAAGAATGTCTTGGAACTCCTTCAATAATTCCTTGATCTTTCCCGGAGGTTCCGAGGTCTTTTCTCCGTCGTTCTCCACCTCTGTTGCTATCGCCAGGAACTCGGTGTCGGTTCGCTACACGTCCTTCTCGAATCGTGCGAGTGTCTCCACTAGGATATCTCCTGTATCGTCACAGTTGGGTAGCTGTACTCTCCGTCCATTGTTGTAGATGCTTGCGGTGCGGTTCACCCAGTTGATCTCGGGGTTGAATTTTTTCAGGAAGTCTCGCCCGAAGATCAAGTCAAGCCCCTTGATGTTGGTGATGGGGATTGCAGGTCTCCAGCGCAGTGGCCCGATTTGTAGGTATAGCACTGCTTCGCCGTATACTGGTAATTTGCTGCCGTCCACCATCTTTGCAGAGAATCCTGAAGGCTTGTACTCTTCCCGAAGTCGGTCGATTACTGCCTTGTTGCAGACGGTGTGTGATGCTCCGCTGTCCACGAGTGCTTGGAGGCATCGTCCTTTGTAGATGACCTCGAGCACGAGGGGCAGGAGTTGCTCGGAGTACCCAGAGATAGTCTCATTGCTTGGGTCGTAGGGTACATCCCAATATTCCGTACACACCTTTGTGTTGCTATCTACTCCTGAGCTGGCAGCTGGCCGAGGCTGCTTGGAGAATGGTTCTTCGCCTGGGCCCGGAGTTTCCTTGACGACTGTGCGCGTCATTGATGCTGAAGAACTGGATGCATCCATAGGAGGAGTTCGGGGTTTGTGCAGCTTCTTGTAGACCCCCAGCTTCTTCTTGAGTTCCATCAGCTCCACCGACGTCTTCCCTGGGGAACGGGTGGTCGTTGTGGGCTGGTGTCGGGAGAGGACGTTGACTCAAGGTCGGGCCCAGGGAATCTCAGTTCCCAAGGAAAGGAAGGGAGGAAGGCAGTGGAGCATGGGAGAGGGAAGTGTAAATAGATCGAGACTCGGTAGGCTAATTGTTTCTCATTTGTATGTTTTCCTACTATACTGCAATTACACTCTACGCCTACTAGAGTCCAGCAGTACGGGAATTCGGTCCCAAGTGGAACTGAGCAGCCAGGGAGAGGCTTGTAACAAGGGCGCTTGGTCCCACAGCAGCAGTCATCACCTACCAGAGGCGGAATGGACAAAGGAAGAAGGAGGACAGGGAGGAAGGATAGCTAAGAAGTGGGGGAGAGAAGGGAGAAGCACGATACTCTCTCTCTCTCTATACCTCTCTCTCTCTCTCTCTCTCTCTCTCTCTCTCTCTCTCTCTCTCTCTCTCTCTCTCTCCCTCTCTCTCTCTCTCACTCTCTACCTCTCTCTCCCTCTCCACCTCTCTCTCTCTCTCTCTCTCTCTCTCTCTCTCTCTCTCTCTCTCTCTCTCTCTCTCTCTCTCTCTCACTCTCTCTCTCTCTCCACCTCTCTCCCTCTCTCCCTCTCTACCCTTCTCTCTCCTCTCTATCCCTCTCTCCAACTCTCACCAACTCTCTCCACCTCTCTCCACCTCACTCTCTCTCTCTCTCTCTCTCTCTCTCTCTCTCTCTCTCTCTCTCTCTCTCTCTCTCTCTCTCTCTCTCTCTCTCTCTTTCTCTCTCTCTCTCTCAACCTCTCTGTCTCTTCTCTTTTTTTACCTCTGTCGGATACATCGTTCCTTTCTTCTTCCCTCCATTTCTGTTTTCACCTCTCCATTCCTTGGTACTTTGACTGCAGGGTTTGAAATGCTCATTGAAGATGTGTAATTGCACCCTTGTGGGTGCTGAATCAGCGCGCGACTATTCTCCCTTCTGATTACATTTCTGTTCTGCTGCTTTGAATTGTTTTATGGTGACATTGTCTTGCTGCATGCAGTCGGTCCTATCTCTAGTGCATGGATACAGACAAGTAATACTTTTCATGGTCATAAAAAAATGGATTGCGCTTATCATTTTACATACGACTTGACACACTCCGTGAGTGCGGTCATTTGAGTTGGAAATTATTGGAACAAACCAGTTTTTGTGACTCACGAATTGTATTGCTTTTTTTGCGTTGTCTTCCCCCCTATGCTAGCACTAGGGAAGTGATAGTTCATTGTCATGGACAAAAATACTGAGTGATGGAGACAAATATACATTGATTTGTTTTCCAATAATTCATACATGCAATAAAACAAACAATTATTATTTTTATCTAGACCTACAAAATGAGAAGCTATAGTATAGCACCTACTTGTTGAGACTAGAAAGAAGGGAGAACAGGGGAGATAGCGTTTGGGTTGTACCCACTAAGAGCATATGCTATCTAGCCTATAACTTCTACATAACAATATATATATAAGTTGACACACCCCCTAGGCTAGATAAGGGGTAGTGCTGAGCAAGAAACACACGGCTCAGGGTGGCACTACTAGTCGAACCTCTGTGGCAGGGGCCCGACGACCAGTCAGCAAGACTACAAGCAAGACAGAGCAAACCAGGGCGGCACTACTAGTCCAACCACTGGAGGAAAAACAAGAAGGCTAGTCTGCAAGGTATAACTAGAAAGGAGTACACAATCAAGGGCCTAGCAAGTGAGAGTCAACAGGGACTAGACCTAACTGCAAGCAGTGCCGCTGATGATCTCTAGGTGGAAGCGCCTTAGTAAAGATATTAGCTGTGTTGGCACCGGAGGCGAAGTGTACTACGCGGGCCTGGCGACGCTGCTGAAGCTCGCGCAGGAGGAAGTACCGCAGCTGGATGTGCTTCGCTCTGCCCTTAAGTCGAGGCTCCTGACACAGGAGGATCACGGCCATGTTGTCAGCGTACAGAACCGGGGCTGAGCTAGGCCGCTCACCTAAGTCGGCAAGAAAGAAGGTCAGCCAGCGGATCTCCTGTGCCGCCATGGCACCGGCGTAGATCTCAGCCTCGCAGCTAGACTGAGCAACAGACGAGGAGCGAGTGGACCTCCACGAGATGGCACCAGAACAAAGGCTGAAGCAGTAGCCCTGGGAGGACCAGAGGGTCTCAGCGTCATCTGCCCAAGAAGCGTCTGTGTGCCCAGTAAGGACCACTGGCCTGCGTCCTCCCAGCACTAGCCCCATGCTCGATGTACTTGCAAGATAATGCAAAACCCTCTTAGCGGCCGACCAGTGCTGTGGTCGGTGTCTTCCTGTGGCCACAAAGCGGGCCAAGATGCTAAGAGGGTATGTAAGTCATCATGTACATGAGGCAACCCACCAGCTCTGCGTAAAGACCACTGGGCTCTACTCACTCCTCAGGAACAAAAGCTGAGAGCCTGTTGTCTACCGGCAGAGGTGTGGGCTGTGCGGAGGAGAACTGAAGACCGAACCTCTAAAGGACCTGGCGCACCAAGTGTGACTGTGTAAGAGTGATGGTGCGCGCTACTCCATCCCTGGAGATCTGTAGGCCAAGGTAGCGACGCAGCTCTCCCAGGTCAGTGCAGGTTTGTCTCCTCAGCAGCTCAGCCTTTACGGAGGCCAGCGCGTCTCTATCTGCCGTAGCAAAGACCAGGTCCTCTACGTAGACCAGGATGTAGAACGGAGTCTCGCCAGCACGAACGAAGAGCGAAGGGTCAGCAGAGGACTGAAAGAACTGCAGGTCAGCTAGCGTGACACGCAGCGTGTCGTGCCACTCATGGGGAACCTGTCGCAAGCCGTAGACGGGTCGCCGGAGGAGCCACTATGTCCCAGGAGGGAAAGTACCGATGAAGCCTTGAGGGCGGTGCAAGCAGACCTGCTCGTGCAGGCTACCCTCAAGAAAAGCAGTGGAGAAGTCGAGGGAGTGGAGCTCGTAGTCACGCCGTGCTGCTATGCGTAGCAGCGCCCGAAGAGTAGTCATCTTCGGGGTCGGGGCGAAGGTGTGGAAGAAGTCCACCCCCTCTCGCTGACTGAAGCCTCTAGCCACGTAGCGCGCCTTGAACACAGGCAGCTCTCCAGGGGGGCGCTTCACCTTGAAGAGCCACCGGCCATCGACTACATTCACCCCAGGTGGGGGAACTGCGTCGACGTAGGTGTCGTTAGCCCTCCAAGATGCCATCTCTTGCTCCATGGCAGCTATCCACTGAGAGGTCCAGGGTCCCGAGGTCACCTCAGCGTAGGTGCAAGGGGTCGGGATGTCAAAGGCGTCGGGGTCACCCTCATGGACTAGTAGCATGGAACACAGATGGGGAGCAGCCTCTGACAGGAAAGCAAGCTCGTGCTGCCGGTCCTCCAAGACGTCACTGCCGAGGGAAGGAGCACCCCTGACGGACGGAGGACAGACAGGGTCAGATACAAGAGCGGTAGCAAAGTCAAGGTGGCGAGTAGAGGCAAATTCAGTGACAGCAGCGACAAGTGCGTCAAGACTAGAGACAGGAATAGACGGGCTTGTAACGAGGGAGGCAAGGACCCAAGGAACAAGAGGACGAGCAACACGAAGGTAGTTAGATAAAGGGGGAGGCGCGACAGTGAGCGACGATGGTGGAGGCGAAAGCAAACGGGAAGGACGAGACGCGTGGGAACGAAGCAACATAGGGTGAGAACGCTGAGCAGGAGAGACAGGACGAGCATTAGAGAGACGGCGAGACCAGACGTGAGACGGAGGCGTCGGGTCAGGAGACAGAGGAGGAGTAACAGCAGGGGAACGAGAAGGGAAACGAGTCGGGGACGAGTCCGGCGGAGGAAACACTGGACCGTGAACAGGAAGAAGGGGAGACGGCGAGGGAGGCGCAGGCAAGCATTCAGGGGAGTGAAGGCCGAGCAGGTGAAGGGCGGACACTGGCGGCGACTGCTGCTGCTACTGCTGAACATCGACACCTGGACCACCAGCTGCACCACTGCTACCTCCGGTTCACTCCACGCCAGCACCCCCAGATCGAGAAACGTCTCCATCGCCGGTGCCACCCTCGAGCCCGCCGGGACAAGCCACGACAGGAGCCCTAGGACTACCACCCTCTCCAATTCCAGCACCCCCAGAGTCCACGAACGGCTGCGGCTGCGATGACGGCTGCGGCTGTGGCGGCGGTGACGGCGGCGGCTGCAGCGGCGACTGCGACGAGGGAGGAGGAGACACCGGGGGAGGGACAGGCGGCGCAAACTGCGCCGAAGGGCCACCAGAGTCAGCTGACTCCTCGACCGGGACAACCGACGGGAGGGGAGTGACGTGAGACACACCGGACGGAGCAAGACGGGGAGGGAGGGGAGCAGGGGTGACCGGGGGAGTGGGAACCAAAAACAGGGGGGGGGGAAACCGGGAGACCTTGGTGAGGAATGCGGTGGAAAAAGGAGACAGACTTGTCGAACGTGACGTCACGGGAGTGAAGGAAGCGGTGAGACGACAGGTGGTAGAAGTGCCAGTCAGACGAGTCAAGGGGGAAACTGAGGAAGACACTGGGGACGGTGCGGGCAGTGAGCTTATCCTTGTCAGAGGCACGAACGTGAGAAAGGAAGCCCCAGACATGGAACGCAGACGCGTCACGAGGGAACCCGGTCCAAAGAAGGGTCGACGAAACCTGCGGCCGCTGAGAGCGAGGCCAGAGGTTAAGCTGGTGAGCGGCGAACGGCCACAGAAAATGGGGTGCACCGGTACGAGCCACCTCCATTACCAAACCGATGCGTCGTTCAGCGACCCCATTCTGCTGCGGGGATTCCGGTAGGGTGTATGTCTGGGTGATACCCTCCGCACGACAGTACTGACCCAGCCGACCAGAGGCGAACTCGCCGCCATGGTCGGAGTGGAGACATAGCACAAGGACATCGCGGTGGAGGCAAGCAGCGATGCGCCATGGGATAAGAACGTCAGGCACGTCGGCCTTCCGCTCCAGGGGAAACACCGTGGTGTAGCGCGTGAAGTCGTCAACGAGCACCAAAAAGTAGCGCTCGCGACGCGGTCCAGGGACAGGGGGCTGGGCCCCAGACGTCCAAGTGCAGGGTCTGAAGGGGTGCAGTGGCAGGGCGAAGTGAGGGGGAGTGAGGAGCACGGCGCAGCCGGTCCTCGACGCAGGGTGTGCACGGCGGCGCAGGCGAGGGAGGGAGAGTAGGGAGCGACGCAGGGAGGATGAGGACTAGACCGTGCTGAGACGTGCGGGAGCGCGGGAAGACCGAGGCGGTGGTGCCACAAGAGTGACGGGTGAGTGAGCGACCGACACGAGCAAGCCGTAGCTACTTGGGTGGACGCAAAACCGGAGGAGGACTCGCCTGCCGGGGGGGGAGCAGTGTCCAGGGTAAACAGGCCAGACACAGGGTCGCGGGGGAACGTCGCAAGGGGGGCACCTGAGGCGGCCTCGGAACAGACCGCGTACCGCTCGTGACCAGGGAACGTAGTGGTGACGCCGAGGTCCTGAAGACAGCCGACACCAACGAATTTCGTGGAAAACGAAGGGATGTGCAGGCCTCTAAGGGAACTCGAGGGAGCCGCCGGACAGGGAAGGGTAGTGTAGCTGCGAGCAACGACAGGACCAGAGGAGGGGTTCGCAAGGGCGACAGCGGCAAGCGCAGCAAGCGGCATGAGGGCGGCGTGGTTACGGAAGAAATAGGCTGACGCACCGGAGTCTAGAGTGAAGGACAGCGACGCCGTAGTGGCCGACTACGGAGGAGCAAGGGTAGAGCCTAGGCTAGACAAGGCAAGCTGTCCTACGCTTGATGCAGCAGGGGAGTCTGGACTACAGACAGGTGCTACGCCTAAGCTAGAGAACACAGAGTAATACGATCCAGAAACACTCGAAGAGTCAGCATACAGAGAATGCAAGGTAGAACTAATCTGATCCATGTCTAAGTCAAACACAGGCACATCGTGGCGCAGCAGGCGGGGCCAAAGAGGGAGGTCCAGGCCGAGACCAAAGCGCCGACGGAAGAGGTCGTCGAGGCGGTGGAAGCAGCGGGCGGTGGGGTGCGAGCGGCGGCACAACGTGCCACGCAGGGGCCCGATCTGAAGCTAGTACTGCCAGCTCACAGCACCAAAGCTGCCGGTGGACGCCGAGCTGCGAGGGCCACCACCACGACCACCACCGCCAAGGGCTCCTGGCCACCCGGGCAGGAGACGAGCCCACAGCTGCTGCTGCTGCTGCTGTGGCGGCTGCTGCGGCGGCTGCGACTTTGGCGACTGCTGCTGCTCCTAGGCACCAGCACCAACCCCCTCGTCAGATCCACTGTCCACGCCACCTCCACGTCCTCCCTTGGGGCCACGGCGGCCCCGGCGCTGGCGCTGCTGCAGGTAAGCCGCAGGTGCTGTCTTAGGTGCAGGCGCAGTCATGGCAACTGCGGTGGAGACGTCAGCGTACGTGCACTGGGAGGGGGCACAACCCTGAAAGATAGGGACTACCGCAATA